GGGGATACTATGCTAGAAATGAATGATGTGACTGCTAGGTCGGCCGCGCTGACTGTGGTGTCGTTTCCTGAGTTTTTTGTGCTGTCGGCAGATTCTATTGATGTATCTGATTCTTGTATATTTATATTTTCTAAGATGGCTACTTTAACTCCTAGTTCTTTCTCGAATACCTCGATCAAGGTGTTATGTGTTTGCCGAGGGGTGATGTCGCTAGAGAATGTGACTAATATGGAACTTAATGTGTTTATTAGTTGTCTTTTAGTTACTGCCCCGCCCCGATTTGTTGAAGATGGGACCTGGTTTTCTTTTTGTCTATGCCTTTGAAGGGCCTTGTGTCCCCATTATTGGGTGTTAGTTTAAGTACCACTACAGTTTCTTGCATATTTTGTGTGTGATTTATGAATATTTGTATTATTGGTGATAGATCGTTGTGGTCGTTGTAATGCTATCCTAATCTACTCTATTTGCTATATAGGTGAATTAATTGCCCTAATATCACTTTTGTGATATTTCTAAGCTAACTTAAACTAGCCTTAGAGATATTTTAACTATTTTAGTCTAAATCTTAGTTGACACTAATTAACCTCTATACTAACTAACACTTCCTTCCTTTACACTATGTGGTGATCGGCTGATTGTCTTGTCGGCTGGAGGGCTGGCGGCGCACGTCTGATCGCTTTGACACTCATGTGTAAGATTGACACGCGACACACAGCCATGATTTGATTTGAGAGGTTTTACGTCCGCTTCATCACCGTACATAACAGTGTACAGCAGACGAGAACAGAGAGGAAGGAGAGTAGAAGGGTAAAAGTATGTAGAGGTAGAGTAGAGAGGGGTAGAAGGAGGTAGAGATGGGAGTCGTCTTAGACCTATCCTTATCCTATTTCTATTTTGACTGAACTTTTTATGACGACTCCCGGCCTAAATGTGCCTTAACGATATCCAGTCGGCAGCCGGCAGTGATGGAGTCTGGTGGTGGAGAGGAGGAAGTCTCAGGTCTGGATCCCGTCTTGATCTTCGGTGGGTCCAGCGGCCTCTGGGACTTATGCTACATTCCCAACTAGGGGCTATTATATTGAGGGTTTGTACATGCTAATTTGTGTGTGCCTTAGTCAGAGGTGCGATATATTGTTGTAGGACCAGTAGGTTTATGTGTGTTTGTACCCTTCCAAGATCTTCACCACGTGAACAGGGCACAACAGAGCCCACCTCAGAAACCCGCAGGTCACTCGATGGGTTGAATGCCCCCTGAGCCGTTTCAGGATCCAATAATGGGAAGGGTCCCTAGTGGCTGTGTGTGTGTATATGTGTGTGTGGACTGTTTGCCTTGTGAGCGGTTGCGGGAGGTATATCCAACTAATAAAGCCAAAGTCCACCTAGATGGAATATACTAATGGGTGGATTAGAGGGAAATTTTGAGTCGGTTTAATAATATTTTTTTTTTAGTACAACCGGATGTGCTAATGAGAGACACTGTTTTATGATCTATAATTTTGTTTATCTAGTTTTCGAAGTCCGTCTAATAGTCCTTATTAATGAACCTTATCTTTATCTTTATTGGGGCCTCAGGGCCGGCGTTATCACACCCACTCTTCTTCGAAAAGCCACAGAGGGATATTTAACGTGCGGGTTGGACCTTTCCTACACGGGACACCGATTTGAGTCCTATCCGACGGACTATATGTTACATGTTAGTGGTTAGTACTGGTTTAGTATAGGTGATTTATCTTTTTGTTGTCCATTCGGTTGTACACATTCCGTGGCTTCCTGTCCGTAGACAAACTTTGCACTTAAACCAATGTCCGCTTTCTGTATATATTCCATACTGGTCTTGTCATCATGAATCTTTCCACACTCGACATTTTATTAGTTTTATGTTGTGACGTTAGTGTTGTGTTATTTTCCTTCAGCAGGAGTAAAGTGTTAACAAAAGATAATGAAAGAAAAGAAGGGAAATCTAAGAAGGGAATTAAGTGCAAAAGAAGGGGAAAAGACAAGAAAGGAAAGTAAAAGAAAAGAAAAACAAAAGAAAGGAGAATCTTATATTGGTGATTTCGAAGGGGGTGTGGTAGGGGCGGGGGGGATGTTTCGTGCAAGATGTATTGATGTGGGGTTTGGATATGGTGTTGTCTTATTTTGTTGTGTTTTGTTTTACATTATTGGTTTTAGTTCCCGATTCATATGAGACATCTGTGGGGTAGGAGACAAGTCCATAGACCTGAACTCCCCGCACGTGGCCAGAACACATACGTTGCAGCTGTCTCACACAAACCGGAAGTTGAGGTGGTGTTGTATTTATCGTGACTTTTCTTTCTTTTGTTTGTTATGTTGGTATGTTTTATTTTCCTATGTTTTCCGTGTTGGATAGTTGGATATTGGGTTTGACATACCGGATATCCCTTTATCCCGTATTTCCTACCTAACTAATAGGTCCGCAAGGCAGAAAAGCGCCCCCTCAATTTACCGTGCTAACCCTTAGGGTTTTGCCCGCTTGAGAGAACTGGACCTATTTTAAGACCCTAAACAGATTACAGGAGGTTCCCTATCTTGCTTCTTATTGTTATATTTACATATTGTTGATTTGTTGGTTGTTTATCTTATTTGTGTTTGAGGTTGTTTATTTGTTTATTTACTTAATCATGAGGAAGCTGTGTTGTGGGAGACAGGTTCTTAGAGTTGGACTTCTCATATGAGGCCGGGGCACATAAGGTACAGTTTTCTCAATGATCATGCCGTAGGTGATTGTTTGTTTATTAATTTCATTTGGTCGTTGTACGTATTCTAGGAGTGGCTTCTATGTTTATATATTATGTATGTGATCCTGTATTGTCTATCAGTTTGTTTAAGTATAGGTTACTTGTAGTTGTTTTACTGTTTAGTGCTTAATGTTTTCATTGTTGTATAGGTGTCGTTCTGGTAGTTTGCTGTATGTTTTGTTTGTTTAGTAATTTGGATTTGGTTCTATTGTGTTTGGAGTTTTGGCTTTGTTGTTGATATAGTAGTTTGTTGTTGTTTGTTATGCAGTTAGGTCTGGTATATATGTGAGGGTATATATGTGTTTAGGTTTGTTCGATGTATTATTATCATCTATGCATCATGAAGAAGACCTTGTATTTTGGGAGTAGCTTTATCAAGCGATTGGAGCGCCATGTCGGGGGAAGATCCGAGAGAGAAGTTTTTTTACGGCCGGGGTGGACTTCGCCTTTCTCAAGTTACTACTGATATGCTGAGGCCTGCCTTGAGGGAGAGAGCGAATGTAGTCATACTTCACCTAGGGTTTAACGATATTTCGCCAGTCACCTCTGCATCTCTAGTCTACGACGGGATTGTATCTTTGGTAGATCTCTTCCAGTCTACCGGTTCTGTGGTGTATATTGTGGAACTTCTGCCACGAGGTGACTTCTTCAAGGTAATCATAGAATATATACCATCACATGTAGAAATTCCCGGTAACGATAAAGCCGACGAACTGGCTAAATCAGCTCTTTCACTTCCGGAAATACTACTTCCGGTTAAAGTATCAAAAACGGAAGTATACTCCCTAATTAATAAAGCCATTAAAACCAAATGGGAAAAACGATGGAAAAATTTAGAACAAAGCAATCATCTCAGAGAAATTATAGATACACCTAATTTAAAACCAATTATGTACGGTAAAAGTATAACAGAGGATAAGGCTATTACAAGAATTAGATTAGGAACAACAAAACTAAGAGGCGAAATTAGCCAAATAATCAGAAATATATCCCCAAATTGTAATCAATGCAACTCGGACATACCAGAAACATTAAATCATATACTATTGGAATGTCCAGCCTATTCTAATGAACGGACGGTTTTTAAAAATGCCTTAACAAAATTAAAATTAAAAACACACAATACCAAATCATTATTTCTTAAATCCCAAGATGAAAGGTCTATATATCGTTAAATTTCTACGTCAAATTAATAAGATCAACGAAATCTAAAAAGTACATGGAATCAATAAGATTTACCTCCCTTTAACCAGTAACTGCAAGTGACTACAGCAAAATTACACCATTACTAAGAACTTTATATACCCTGCAGGAGGGAGTCACTTGCATATAAAATTACGGGTGGGTGCAGGGTCAAATGTTGAATAGAAATAAGTTTACTAAATATAATTAAATATAGCAACTTATAATCTTTAACTTCCCCGTCCCCTCCGCCCCACATAAGGCAATAATTACATGTAATAAGACAGTACAAGTTAGGACCTTTTTCGTTTAGGGAAGGACTGTTAGAATATATCATGAGTATTGGTTCCCTTCCCTCACGATATAACCCCGCAGGGTTGATATGTGTTGAAGGGGTGTCCTTGGTGTTTCGGAACCCATACTTGTTAGGCAGGGCCTAAGGAATAAGTCGGCCACGCTTGATGGTAATATAGCCGGACCAACTTATTTAACACAGTCTAAACCCCTACTCGATATAATATAGGATTAATTTAATTAATAGCAGCCTCAACTGACACCCGAAATCAGGGGTATCACAACGTCTTTGTTCTGGTCTCAGGCGGGGAGTCCGGCCACCCGACGTGGCTCCTGTGATACTTCCGGTTCCGGTAGAAACTAGACCCACATAAGCACAATTACTTAAATACAGATAATACAGAATTTTATAACTAGAATCACAAAAGAAAAGTACGGACTTTATATCTAAAGTAATAATACACTATTAGTCTAGGTTTAACGTTCTATTCTAAACACAACTCCCATAATAGTACGATAAGTCGTATACCGGTAAGGGAGGTACCACAACGTCTTTGTTCTGGTCTCAGGCGGGGAGTCCGGCCACCCGACGTGGCTCCTGTGGTGCCCCCCGGACCCGGCAATGGCTATATCAATCTATAACGTAAATATACAAAACCGCAGAACCCGACCATACAACCACACAAAACAGAATTTACCCCCTTTTTAAATCAATAATGTAGTACCCACTGGAAAAGGGAGTACTACAACGTCTTTGTTCTGGTCTCAGGCTGGGAGTCCGGCCACCCGACGTGGCTCCTGTAGTACTTCCGGTTCCGGCGGTGCTATTGAATTAAATCTAACAAAATTAATAAAACACATACTACTCAGGTTAATTTATAACCCCACAAATCCCCCCCCAACACACACACCCCGGAGGACCAGGATTAGGAATAATAAGGGAAAGGTTTGCGTTTGTATTCAAGACATCTGTGATAACTTTTTATTAAGATTGGTGGCCTTTAAGAAGGCCGTTTTGCGTGGTAAACCACAAACTACCGTGGTAGTTTACGGGCGGTCAAATAGCAGGGGCGGATGGTCCCGTGGCGGTTCCCCATGGCGGCGTAACACCCATTCGGCAACTGGTACAACTTCTGGACTGATGCTAAGTAGTCCCTGACCTTCAGACTTAGTACTACCTCCCGATGCTGACGAAGGCTTGAGGGCTGGTGAGCGAAATGTACGTATCGTCTCGACATGGGGCGCAGACCCTTCTCCCGTATCCGGTTCCAGGACTCTATGGTAGTAGCATGTCGACAATAGGTAACAGTAGCGGCGTCGGTAACAAGCTCAGCCAAATGGTCTATGTTAACATCGGTGACGCTGTGCCCGGCCCCAGCCCTCATCTTCTCTCCACAGGGGGACAGGAATAACCGCTTCTTGTCCGCTGGCAGGTCGACTATGGAGTTTAATGTAGGACGTGTCAGATGGAAATATTCTGAGAGATGCTGAAGTGTCACGTATCCGGCGGAGTCGCGTGGGGCAGCAGGATCGTGTCGCAGGTAGTAGACCAGTCGGCGTGATAAGGATTCCATGGTGAATGATTTTGACATTTTTTTTTTTTTTTGAGCTTAACGTCCTTGTTCCGGTTATAACCGAGCCTAGGACACTAAGGGGGAGGGGGCTGGTAGGGCCGAGGCTTTAGGGTGTGCAATTTCGCTTTTTAGTAATCACCAAACAGGTCTAATATGGGGAGGACAGATCTGACTAAATCTATACCCTAACGTCTAAAAAAAAAAAAAAAAAAAAAAACTGGGGAAATTTTGGACTGTCACAGAAACGCCTAGTCCTACTCTAGTCTCACTTTATATTTCCCTAATATAAACCTATGCTCTGTGGCGGCTAGCAGTTAGCCTTCTCTTTTTCGAAAACCAGCAGAGGTTCTTTAACGTGCACGGCGTGACTCACTGTACACCGGGCCCCCGTTTAACGTCCCTTCCGAAGGACAAGAAGTTTTAGAAGATAGCGGGAGAGAGTGTATGGGAAAGTCGGAAATTGGAAAATAGGTTTAGCTTGTTAGCTGGTGTAGGTTTGTTATTTGTAGATGGGATTACTAGCCACCATTTGACAAGGTTAGTCATGCTGGTCTAGAGTGGATTTTAAAAGTGGGGAACTGTGTTATTAAGTTCAGTTATGAGAGTGGATGTGATGGGGTGATGTAAAGAATGTGCTGGAATTGGGTTAGCGTAGATTTTTGGGATTAGTGAGAATTAATGTGAATTATTATACAATCGATGTCGTTCGGGAGACTGTAGATTACTGTGTATAATCGTCTACATGCCTACCCTACTAGAACAGGGATTTGTATATTAAAAGGTGGAAGGTAGAGTGGAAGAGATTTTGTAAAGGTTGTTGGCTTTGGGTCTCGGCCCAGGTGTATGTTGTATTTATGTAGGTGATGTTTTTGTGTATGTATGTGGTGTTGTGGTAATGGTTTAAAAAAAAGGGGGGGGGGAATCTTACTGTTTTTCTACAATGTCCCCTGCTAAGGGATGTGGTGTGTGTTATTGGCATGTATTAAAGGGTATTGTTGGTATGTGTGAGGTGGTGAAATTATAGTCCTGTGTCCAGTGTTGAATACACCTCCCTGTAAAGTCAATTACAGAGGGCTGTGTATCCTGGTTTCCCTACCTACCATAGGTTACTGACCACCCATTGGGGACATGTAGATTCGAATACGTCCACTGTTTATCCAGTTATAGTAAGCAGTGGTTGTACGATCTACAAGTAGTACCTATTTGTGTTTTTATTCTATACTGGACGTAGACTCATAATTACGTATATTGCGTGTGTGTGTGTGTGTGTGTGTTTTGATTTTTGTTTTTTTAATATATATAATTATATCGCTTTCCTAGATTTTATCAATATAATCAATATCCGTTAGATAGGAGGTTAATTGGTCGAATACATATTTTCTATGTTGTTTTGGAGGGTTGAGTACTATATAACTGAGGTTGGATCTTAACATTGCGTTCGATGGAATAGAGCCAGTTATTAGTTAATTTCGACCAATTTTCCTGCCTTATCAATTGAGTTTTGTCATTGATTATACTGACGACCTCTGATACACTAAGTCTATATTTAGATGAACATCACGTGACCCTAAGGCTGCTCTAGCGAGTTGATCTGCTATCTCGTTACCTAAAATGTCGACATGAGATGGAATCCATTCGAATTTTAGATCTATTCCTAATTGATCGATCTCGGTGATCATATAATGAATTGCATTAAGCAGTTTAGGTCTACTGCTATTTCCAGTTGTCAAGGATTGTAAGGAGCTGAGGGAGTCCGATAGAATGACTACTCCTTCAAATTTGGTGTGGTTTTTCTTAATACCTAGTAATTGTAATTTGAATAGCCATGAGTTCAGCTGTGTAGACCGAGGCTCTGTCACTTAGTCGAAGAGATTTTCTGATGTTATATGTATCGTTATATATACCTATCCCTACTCTATCATTGGTTGGATTTTTAGAGCCATCGGTATAAAATTTAACGAAGTTGTAATATTTCTTATCTATCAACTCTAATGCTAGGTGTTTTGCGCCTATCGGGTCGTGGTATGATTTTGACATTTTTTTTTTTTTTTTTTAGTATATTTCTTATCTATCAACTCTAATGCTAGGTGTTTTGCGCCTATCGGGTCGTGGTATGATTTTGACAAGTTAACCATACCCTAGTTATACCCTCCCGTTAAAACAAACAACCAATCAGTATCAAGCTTACATCAAGACCCCGGGTAGGGGGTGTCTTCACTCAAGGCCTCTAAATACCATACATACGATATAATAAAATTCAATTATATAATAAGTACTATACATTTATATATGGAAACTCCTATTACACCAATCTCTCGTATTTAGGTTTATTAATAAAAATTCTTCATCATCGCCCAACATAGTAATATCTAAATATAAATAATCAAAATTAATTTATCTTGGTGTTATCATTAAACTAATTTGAATATTAATAGATTTTCTATTATACGAACATAATATAAATTTAGACCAAAACAATCTATATATTTAACACCATATTTACATACGATCATACGATCGTAAACGAGTCCTTAATTTTCATACTATATATGGCAACTATATTGTATTTTTAAATATGACCCATTTTTTTATGCGTTTCTCGAGCGTCCATGAGGACTTTTTGAGGGAATGGGGTGGCCCTAAAAAGGGCCTTTTGTATGGGTAATTGACAGGTTCATCGGCGTCGAATCACAGACCGGATGCGCCGGTAATAGATCTCCATCCCCCTAGGATTAAGGTGGACCCCATCGGCGGCGAAGTGCTGGGGATACGTCAGATCGCTCATGGTGATACTGTTAGGTCCCAAGGCCTTGCGCATCCACGTGTTTATGATGTTACGGCTTCGTCGGTACATGGATTGAGTTAGTCCGGGAACCTTTGTCAAACCATGACGGGGCAATACTTCCAGGAACATCACGCGGGCTCCGGTGCTTTCCAGTTCCCTGACTAGTTCCTTTAGGGCGTCGATGATGATCCTAGGATGGCGGGTGGTGGAAATATCATCCGCTCCGAGGTGTAGGATGTAAAGGTCGGCGGGCTGGTTCTTCAAATCTTGAATCATACCGTGGGTTACGGAAGTAACGCGTAAACCCCCCTTGCCGATGAAGGTGGAAGTCCAAGGCTCGTCGAAGGGGTGTTGTCGATGATAATCGGCCAAACGCCGGATAAAGCTGCTACCGAAATATACAACTCTCATGTTGAATAATGATAAACCTATAACCTAAAGTCCAATATATACCCAACGTGAGTAATTACCATATGCCATAATATGTGTTCACAACGTACATACATATATACCGCGTGTTAACTGCTCTCACCGAGCCTCGGTACCGCCTTTAACGGCCCGATTAAAAGGTCGCCCATCGTCAGTCTTAAAAACACACCCAAGCCCCCACGCATAACAACTCACTCAATAAAAACACCGTTACCAATAATTAAACAAATCAAATAAAAACAAAACAAATAATGACCCTATTATACAAATTAGGTAAGCTATAATAAGGGATTGGATATTTTATGAATGAAGCACAAAATTCAGTATAAAAGCAAAAGACTAGCCTCGCTCCCATCCCACCCATCATCCCTCTAGATACATAAGGAACGTAGTATAGAACGAATGGAAGACAACTCGCCCAATATAGGTAAACCCCAGCACATTTACTCTAGGATCCCCTTACTGCCCCTATCATAACCATTAACAAGCACTTTCATTATAAAAATTAAAAATGTCGAGTGGAACAATAGTTGATGGCTTGGAGTGGTATATTGTGAACGAGGACATTTGTGTAGAATTGAAAGAGCATCGGAAGGAGGAAGCACAAGTCAAGAGATATGATTGGACAACAAAAATAAATTGCACCTGCACTAATTACTAACACTAATATACAGTCCGTCGGATGGGACTTAAAAATGTCGGGTCCCGTGTGAAGGAGGGGCCACCTTTGCACGCTAAAGATCCCCCTGAACTTTTCGTAAAAGAGAAGGCTTATTGCAAGCCGGTTCAGGGGCTCTAGCTAGACTAGTAGGTAAGATAAAAGTTAGGGATAATGTCATTTTTGGACAGACCTTCCAAATTATATTTTTATTTGATTCCCGCGGAATCAACGCGTGTAGAATAGGAATTCACCAGATTAAGTGCGCTATGCACAACTTTTTCAGTAACATATCATGAAGGCTAGCACAGGTACCAGTATAGGCTAGAAACTACTATATAACCTTGATGATTTAATTAAGACCATAAAACTAAATAGGATAGCATCAGAATTAAAAATTATAAGTGCACCTCAATTAAACAGGTTCCTCAAACCTTTTATATCTAAATAAATCCCCAGGGCCAGCGCCTCCGGGCAGCCGTAAGACCCTCATGATTGGCTCATTAAGTCAATCACCCCTATCTAGAGGTGACACAACATTTGGAATAATAACATAGACCATAAAAGGATCCCCCAAATAATTCCCTTATCATCCCCACCTCCTCTCCAAGTCCAGACGGAACGCGCAGCGAAGATAACCGGATCACCGGAAGCAGACCATAGGTCGCACCATCGGTTAATGACTTTTTAGGCCCCCCAAGTCGCCTTCCAAATTTATAGCTACGCGTCGCTAAGTTAGGAGTTAGGTAAAGGCGACGCCCCCTCTCTACCTCCCTTTCCTTTTCTGTCTTCTACATACTGTACCCTTTCTACTCACTCCTATCTTTTCTCGTCCTTTGAAAGGCCGAAAGGCCATAATAGAGGACGCTAATCTCTTAATAATAATAATAATAAAGGTCCATAGTCATAGGTCAGACGTGTTCGCCGCCAGCCAAGCCGACAGCCCAGCCGCCAGCCCAGTAGAAGATCAAGATTCCCGGACTAGGACAGGTAATTAGCTAGGTTTAGAATAAATTAGGACAACTAGGTTAGATAAGCTTGAAGCTTTACATATCACTAAGTGATAATAGTTGCTAGTTAGTCACAATATATATATATAGTACTCAGTACATTATATATATTACTTAG